CAACTCTCAATTCCGTTTTAATCGTAAGTTTTCTATTCATTTAATCCATGAATATGATTACTTTGATTGTTGTGGTTGATGGTTTTGAATTGAATATGAGTGGCTAAACCCAATTGCTAGGGATAAAGGATGATGTTATGGTTTCGTTTGTGATTATTGTGTTCGTTGATTGTTCAATTCATATGAGTTATTCTTAAATAGGTTTTTCGATGATTATGCTTGAATGTTAAGAATAGTTGAAGGGTGACACTTCAATCTCCAATTGATTTTCAATTGAATTTGATTCGTTCTCGCGTGATATTGTTAATTCTAAATGGACTAGTTGATTAACCATCTTCTAGGATAATTTAATCGGCTCTTAGAACCGAAAGGGAAGGAGCCGATCGATCTAGGCTCGTATAAACTAGGTTAACTCTATTGCCTAGGTGTTAAACGAATTGTTAATTTTCCGTTCACGTTTGTTCTCTTGTTATGAAAAGTTATTGAGGATGAATCTCTGACGAGTAGGTTATTCGAATCATTTAACCGAACAATTTTGCCCGTTAACTGCAATTCGAACCGAAACAAATATCCCCGATTCCCTAGCTTCTTTATCATTGTTTGTTTCATGTTTTTGAGTTCATTTATGTTTTATGCATTTTCTGTTATTTCATAGTTGATAGTTCAAACCCTAATTGTGATTTGACTGTTAAGAATTTATTTTGCTTTCGTGTGTCATCAACACCAATTCTAGATTCCGAACCGCCTTCCTCGAGAAATCGACCCGGGGAACAGATCATTCGATTCGGTACTCGATAATAAAATAATTTACTACAACAAGCTGCATCGACCACCGAGTTCTTCACACCCGATGGTGGCAGGAAAGTCTTCTTGTGGGCCACCTTTTGTAGGGCCTCTAGCTCGGCTATATTCTTCTTTAAGGTTGTGACCATGGTTGTATCTTACTTAACCAATCCGCTCCTAAGCAGTTTCTCTCTCAGGTCAGGTTTTGCTTTTGGCCTTTCCAGCCGTTGAAACACTGACGAAGATGGACATTTGTAGTTCCGGGTAGGCTCCAACTGGGTATCCCTTATTTCCTCATTTTGTATCTGCTCAGAGGCTGTGTTTTTTGTAGTACTTTGGCATCTTTGGGAACGCGAGGTTTCCTGCAACTGAACCGGCTCTTTGCCCTTATGCTGAGCCGATTTTACGTCCCTTTCCACCAGTGTCTTTAGACCGGCTGATGGTTTGGGGATGGTTTAATCCAAGAGGCTCAAGAAACCCCTTACGAAGTTTGATTTTGAAAAAAGGATGCAGAACCAATGGTAGGGGGTGTCTGCTAGTTCCTTCCGGCCCCTAAAATGCTTTTAGTCTTCTTGGCTCAACGAAGGCATATTTTTTGTAAATTTTGTGATGTAGATGCTGGTTGATATTACTCCGAAACAAATAATGTAGCCCTTTCTCTAGCGCCAATTTGTTGATGTACGAAATTGGAACCAACGGACTAGGAAAACTTTCAAAGTGAAAAGGATATAAATACTGAATGAGGTTGGACGACTGTGATTTTTATATAATGCAACAACTAGGATATTCAGTACAACTTGGAGTTATTTTTAGAAGCAGAATTATCGATTCTGACTTTAATACAATCAATGAGGGTTATTTAGAGCACCTACAATGCTTTGAGTCTCTTAACAAAAAAACACATGCCATGTAGGAAATAGACCTAGTCTATAAAAAAATGTCTCCCAATGCAATTAAAAGTGGACATGGTCTAGCTTATGTGGGAATAAATAAAAGAGACCAAGTCCACACTTGGGTCTATTTTGGACCCAAATACAAACTCAAACACTCATCATTTATTTGTAGTTTAATTATTCTTTTAATAAATGAAACATATTAGAGCATTTTTATTGGTTGACATGTATGATAGACCTAGTATTTTATTTTTTGCATTGAATAACTTTTGAATTTTTTTACTTGGGTTTTGTCCATGTCATTTAGGACTTAAGTCCATTTATGTGCCACATATGTAAAATTAGACCCAATGCATTGTGGGTGCTCTTATAGTGCAAAACCCATGGGCACTCTTCACGAGGTTAGTACACCAGCATTTAATGCTAAGTGAGGGCGACATGCGACTCTGCAGGGGGGAACCCACTCTCAATGATTACTTTCGACAGTACGATGGACATGTGTCATGTCTGCATTTTATGTGCTGTCAAAAGTCAGTCTTCACAGGATATGGGTCGGCACCTAGGTTGTGGGAACTAAGTGCTTCATGTGTAACCTTATTTCAGGGCGAGCTAATTGTCTCATATGGGTGATGAGCTCAATTTATTGAGGCTGACCTTCGAGGTCGGATTGAGATCGTTTTTCTTTATACCACGCATCGGATAATAGCAATGTTGTCAGGTCGGATATCAACAATTTCAAAAACCAACACGTGTTATATCACCATTGGAAGGAGTGTTTTTCGTAGACCCACTCCCTTCCTTAAGAGAAATCATCACAATTACCCCTAAATAAGTCCATACGACGCAACCTTTATATCCTTGAATAAATTACCTTTATCCAACTAATCACGGGTTGACCGTTCGAAAACCCACTCATTGCATTGGCACCGACTTTCCATGGCTCGTCCCCCATAAAAAAAAATAAAACAATTGAAATAGCTTCCTAATAAACAACGGTGGCATGGATGATGAGAATGTGTCGGCGATACTCCCAAGGACTCAAGAAATTACACAGCGGCCCAGACAAAGATGCCGACCTCGAGCCGATCTCTCCATTTGCACCAGTCTCAGTCCAGGCTGTAGCCTCCTCGGACCAATGAAGTCATCTCCCCACATAGGACAAAATAAAAAGTTTCCCTCATACCGATTTGGACTAAATATTTTAACAAAAGGGTTGCCCCCAGAGCCGGTTCGCACCACACAGAACCGGTTTGTACCACCTAAAGAGATAAGCCACTTGGGCAAGTTGGGTAAATTATAAGGATACGCTTCACCATGCATGTGGTCAGCCTCTAAGAGACTACCACGAGTCCCTGAAATAAACATATTGTAATGGTCTTCCACTTTTATAAATATCAAGCCCTCGACATTGAGAAGGGACATCGAATTCGTATCAAAATATGGACCCAAAAATTACATATCCTGAAAATAGTAATACTATGCTTTCTATATCTCTTCCCTAGTTAGAAATGGCTTTCATGTGACCCTTGTAGTAAAGAGGTCCGGGGGCCCAAATCGTTGAATAAGAACCCTCGATGCAGGTGCATCAATCCGTCGACCACCTTATCATTATTATTTCTCTTTTCTTTTTATTTCCCTTTTCAATTGCATTAAAACACCAGACATACCCTCAAAAACTACAATACTGCGTCGAGTTGATGAAAACCAACATCAACGACCTCAAGAGCAACATTAAATATTTCTACTATGTACGATAATTATATTTATACGAAATGTAATTCTATTATTGATAATAAAGTCGGTAAGTCCCAATTTCCCTGCATATTTACAAATTTTTTTTATTGATTTATTGATATTTTAATTTTAACTTTGACTTTTTGATTTCCTATGCATATCTATTATTATATAATAGCAATAAGAAAAAAATGCAAAAATACACTACAAAAAAAATGTTATATTCCAACGAAAAATCCTATGGTAATATATTCCAATGGAAATTCCAACGGATATTCCAGTGGTATAGCTTCCGTTGGAATGATTCCAACGAAAATATTCCGTTGGAATGTAATTTTCATTGGAATTTTAGATGGAATTTGATGATTCCGACGGCTATATTTCCAACAGATTTTGACCGTAGGAATTTCCATTGGAATATGCAATTTCCGTTGAAATTTTTATTTCCACCACCATTGGAAAATCTACCGTTGGAATTGTCAAAATCCAACGGAAATTCCAATGGAAAATTCATTCCAACGGAATATTTTTGTTGGAATTTCCGTTGGAATTATTCCAACCGAAATGATAGCATTGAAATATACATTGGAATTGCCGTTGGAATTCTATTAGAATATAATTCCGTTGGAATTTCATCATTTTCTTGTAGTGATAGTATTACAATTTCCCGCTCAAATTTTCATTTTTTACTAATAATGGAAATATTTTTTGAATTTTTTTGGATTCTCCCGCCCATCACATGTTTTCAAATCTATTACTATATAATAGCAATAAGAAAAAAATATAAAAATAGCATGACAATTCCCGCTCAAATTTTCAGTTTTTACTACTTATGAAAATATTTTTTGAAATTTTTGGGCAATTCCCGCCCATGAATTTTTTGAATTTTTCAGAATTTTTTAAAGTGACATAAATTAGCTTTTTTAATATATATGCATTTCATCTTATCTTGATGTCCATATTTAAATTTATTTTTCCTTTTTTTTTGGGCATTGTTTTTTATTTGATTTTAATATCAATAATTAGATATCTAGAACTATTAACAATGGTAAGTCAAATAAATTGTCGAATATCTATTCTAAATTCTTCCTGTGAAACGTGACAACTTTTTTTACATTCCTATATTCGTTTTTTCCTTTTCTAATATTATGTCTTTTTTCCTTTTTTTTACTTTTAAATTTCAATTTCTTAAGATGTTGGAAATATTTTTTTCTTTTTCTATTTTAACATTTATTATATAGAAATTAAAATATTTATCAATCTTTCCAAAAATTTGGAATCACTTTACTAAACTAATAAAGAAAAATTCAAAGTACTCCTTAATTTAAATAATCTCAAAATTTCGGAGAATACCACAAAACAATGGTAAATTATAAAGAATTTTGAATTATAGGATAATTAAAAACCATCAACGTAGAAAATTATAAAGAATTTTGAATTATAGGATAATTAAAAACCATAAGCGTAGCAAATAAATTATAGGCAAAATTGCATGAAAATGCACAACCTTTCAAATTTTTGCAATTTAATCACCACCTTTCAAAGTTTGTAACTAAGTACACCAGCTTTAGACATTTGGCAAATCGAAGCATGGCAAATGGAAACCGGCAGATGCTTTCTTACGTGGCATCGTCGGAAACTTACGTGGGACGCATAAAACACACGTGGAAGTCCAGACAAAAAAAACGAGAAAAATAAAATGCCACATCATCTTGTATATGTGTATAAAAATCCGATTTATGCCATAAAATCAACCAAATTAATGAGAAAATCCTAAATCGACAAAGAACCCTAGTTTCTCATTTGTCATTTTTGTAGAACTCGTACTGATTCTTTTCAAAGAATTCGGCTACTCTGAAGATGTCGTGTGGATCGTGTGGTAGTGGAGGTCGTGGTTCAACTTCAAATTTGGACCCTCCAGTTGACGGGCTTCAGTGCTTGCACAGAGTCCAACCAGATTTCTTGACCTCGAACACCGATACGAATCCGGCTAGGAGGTATCATCGATGTCCTCACAGAAATACTGTAAGAATTTAATTCCTTATTTAAAAAAAATTAGATTGGTTATGTAGTATTTGAATTACTTTCAACACTGAATTGGGAATTAGGGTTCCAATTTATTGTGCTGCAAAATTGAAAATTGAGAAATGAATTTAAACATTGTTATTGACATATTGCAGGCACGTGATTGTAAATTTTTCGTTTAGCATGATGCTGAATTACCACCATTTCAGAAAGCCTGTTTTTTGAAGTTGAAGAATCAAAAAAATTTGTTGGAGGAACAATTAAAATGTAAGGATATTGTTGAAAAGCAACTCAATGAAAAGCTTCAGATTAAAAAAAACAAGTTGCAGCAGTTGAAGAAGAAAATTGAAGAATTAGAGAGGAAAAATCATGACCAGAACAAGAGAATTGAAGAATTGGAGTGGAAAAATCATGACAAGAACAAGGAAATTGAAGAATTGGAGAGGAAAAATCATCAGCAGAACAAGAAATTGAATTTTGAGAGGAAGTTTGCTATGGTGCTATTGCTTTGTGTCTTTCTAGCTATGTTTAAGGTTAATAGAATTTTTCCTAATGGTAGCTTGATGCTGAAATAGAGAATGGATGTTTTTGTAATGCTCTGTCTTCTTTTATGTCAAATGTTTCTGTAATGCTGAAATAGGAAGTTTGCTATGATGCTACTGTAATGGTAGCTTTGGTGCTATTGTAATGGAAGTTTTTGTAATGGTAATTATGAATGTTGAATTTTCAATATTATGAAGTTGTGATGATGTCAATGATCTCACATTAATATTAATCATACAAAGTGGCTGCTGATATTAAAGAGTGCAAGAATGGCTGGAGTTTGGCAGCCTAAGCATTCACTTGTGACAGTTTAAAGAGTGCAATAGGGCAATGAAGTTTAAAGAGTGATCAAATAACTATCTATAGAAATCAAACCTTACTTATATACTACCTGATCCATTCACCATCACCATAAACCATCACTGTTTATAGAAATCAGAAAAAAACTGTACAATGCCTGATCCAAAAACCATCACCATCAAAATCACAAACTATTGCAATCAGATTCAAAAATATCACCATCCATGAAATTATAAATACACATATTGAAAATCAACACCATTTATTGAAATCAGATCCAAAAACATTAGTTTGTATTACAAACAACAAACATGAACTGAAGCCAATACATAATAACTGTCATACAGTGCAAATCCTATTCAACTTCAAACTGAAGGCCTAACATCTAAGAACTATTTGGCCACACTTTCTTGTGTTCCTGCAGTGTTTTCAACAGTTCTGATCCTTTTGTCACCTGAAAATGAATGACTATAGTGTTAGTTAAATAATTTTTCAATTTAGTAATTACTAACATGAATTAAAGAAATGCCAACCCTTATATATATGTTGCCTGATTCTGGTGAAAACATAACTCCATAGCCTTTTCTTGCCTGCAATGAAACTTAGAACTTATGCACTTATATATAACAATTATTTCAAACTTTGTAACACACAAGTTAGCATACCATTGCTCTTTCTTTGTATATTTGTTGTTTTCCAACCACAGCAGATTGGGATGGATTCCTTTTCATAGGGGTTTTCCTCTTTCTGACTTGTGTGGAGGCAGAGCTTCCTGATTGTCCAACATCAACTGCATGATGAAGCTCATTTTCAAGAGGGCAAGATGTGGCTTTGGTTCTTGGCCTTCCTATTTTTCTCTGCAGTCCAGGTACAATATGAGTAGTTATCAAAACATGACACAATGCAATTTAAAAAGAATGAACTGAATGAATAAATACTCACCTTAGGTGGCCTTGGTGCAGCCTCATTTTTACAAGATCTTTTGTTATGTCCAATCTGCAAGCATTTTTGGCTCCTCATTTGCAAGCCAAACCTCTTCAATTTTGAAACACTCTTAGCTTCTTCTTCAGTTGCCTTCTTCCTTGCCAATTTGGATCTACCTGGCATTCTCTTATATGGAGGGGGTTTCACCATGGTCCCAGTGACAGAAGGCCACATTTTCTTTCCATTGATGGGTTCAAGTGCATATGAGTATGCTCTTATATATCACTCTGTCCTAAGGTAGGGATTCACAAACTCTGAAACATCCTTTTTGAGATAGAGTATTGTTGAACAAGCATGTATACAAGGAATGCCAGAAATATCCCACTCTCTACATGTGCAACTGAAAGCCCTCAGATCAACAACAAACTGATCATCATAGATAGCAACCTGAAACTTATCACCCACTGCAGGTTTAGGGACACACAACCTACTTTTAAACTTAGCATCCTCAAATTTCTTCCTTATCCTAGGACATATGACATTAGTACACCCACCACCTGCCATCAACTTTTGGTGATGCCTTTCCATTACAGATGTTCTAATGAGTTCCAACATCTCAACTATGAGTTTTTTCCTAGCATTTACTATTATGCTATTGAAAGTTTCACATGCATTATTCAAAATCATATCACATTTTGGCATGTCCATTATAAAAGCCTTACAGAATCTAAAAGTTTCTTTTTTCAAAAGATCCTTACATGCATCAGGGTCTTAAGCATTCAAATCATCAATAGCTTCTTTGTAAGCTGCCTTATAGGTGTTGTTCACAACTTTCCAGTAAAGGTCTTTTAGTGCTTTCCCAGGGTTATTCGTTTTCCAATTCATGTATACATGTCTTGCACAATTCCTGTGCTCTGCATGTGGTGCCAGTTCCATAATGGAAGCAATAAGTCCCTACATTTTGAACAAAGTAAAAAATCAGTAAAACAATATGGTTTAGTTATGGTAGGAAATTATTAAGAACACAAAAAAATTGCTAACCTTCTGCTGATCACTGATGAAGGTCCAACCTAGCCCATCCCCAATTCTGAGCTCATTGAACAATATCTCCAAGAACCACTTCCAATTTTGTTCATTTTCTGAGTCTGCCACAGCCCAAGCTATAGGGAATATTTGGTTATTACCATCTTTACCGATGGCACATAACAAAACACCTCCCACACATGTCCTAAGGAAACAACCATCAAACCCAATCACGGGCCTACATCCTTCCAAGAAACCCTGCCTTAATGAACTGAATCCAATAAAAAATCCCTTAAAAACACTACCAGCTACCAACAATAGTTCAAACCTGCCACTCCTATCAACCCTTTGTAACTCTGCAATGTAGCTCCTCAAGCAACCATAATGCTCTTTTTCTGTTCCTCTAAGCATCTCTAGAGCCTTATACTTGCCTCTATACATTTTCCATCTAGATGGCTGCACTGCATATTTGTCAAGAATTTGCTCTTCTAGATCACCTACCTTCATCCTTGGTTTTTTTCTAAACTTCTCCAAGAACTCTTTTGCCACCCAACTTGATTATGCTTGCCTAGTGTTCATGTCCCTATGACACTTGTGTTCTGACACTAGTGTTTTAATTGCAACCATCCCTTCTGCTCTTACCAAACTAGCATACAATTTCCAAGGACAACCATCTGTACACCTAGCTTCAACTTGTTTTTCACTACTTCTCATAAACTGAATATTTAAGCCATTATAAACAGCATGACTTTGTATTGCATCTTTGCACTGGGCAACACTGACAAACCTCATCCCAAGAACAAACTGTATGGTCTTTTTATCACACTGAGGATCATAAACTACACACTTCTTCTTTGGCTTGCAAACAATATCACTATCATCTGAGCCATCAACACTCTCTTCATCACTGTTTATTGAATTATCACTATCATCTGAGTAATCACCACTCTTATAGTTTGTGATAATTTCCTCTATATCAACTAATGAATCATCTTGGGCATTTATATGTCTCTCTCTCCTGGCAGACAGATACTCTTCATCATTTGTTCCTAAATCACCTACAGACAACCCATCATCACTAGAACTATCTCCAGATGGTTCATAGTCTACATCTGTGAAGTCATCAACATCTTTCTGTACATCTCCAACATTCTCTTGAACTCCTTCATTTGATGCACTGCCACAGGGAACATCATTTTGACCCACATCCACATACACAGAAACATATTTCTCTCCACTATGTACTAAACTTAACATGCTCATCACCTCAACATCATTATGTATTTCTATAAATTCATTTGAATATGGAAGCTTATAACAGACTTTCATCAACTCTTTGTAACCAAGTTTCTGTATTTCTTCTTCAAGGTCAAGGAACCCAAATCTATCAGGGTCTAACTTGTGAATTGAATATATCTCACCTCCAAAATAATCAACAGACCCAGCAAGATTGATAAATTTCCCCCCATGATTCAAATAAATACTGAAATTGTTACTGCAATTAGCAAAACAGATAAATTTTCAGAAATTCTAATCGAAGCCAAGCAGAATAAGAACATCACTAAACATGAAAGCATGTAATTTCAGAATCCCCCTTTCAAATACGGTTATGACATACAACATTTCAATTCAAAATGACCTTAAAATATTGCGACGCCTATATGCAAGAGTACAGTTGTTCGATAACCTAGATGCAAGAGTATAAAATACGTATCAATGAAATTCGACAACAACAAAACCTAAATGCAAGAGTACCTGTTCGCCATTACTGTGACAAGCTTCTTGGATCAGTGGCCACAAGAGAACATGTTTTATCGATCGACAATTTTTCAATTTAGGGTTCTTAGTCGATTTGGGATTTTCTCATTAATTTGGTTGATTTTATTGCATAAATCGGATCTTTATACACATATACAAGATGATGTGGCATTTTCTTTTTCTCGTTTCTTTGTCTGGACTTCCACGTGTGTTTTATGCGTCCCACGTAAGTTTCCGACGATGCCACGTAAGAAAGCATCTGCCGGTTTCCGTTTGCTATGCTTCGATTTGCCAAATGTCTAAAGCTGGTGTACTTAGTTGCAAACTTTGAAAGGTGGTGATTAAATTGCAAAAATTTGAAAAGTTGTGCATTTTCATGCAATTTTGCCTAAATTATATGATTATAATATATACATTGTTTTGAAATCAATATTTCATTAGGTAGTTAAGTTTTCAAATATTCTTAAAAAATTTTAATCTACATATAAGTAATTACAATAAAAATAATATGTCAATCCTTCACATTATTATTTTGTGCTCAATAAATTAGACAATAAATAAATATTTTTTAACTAAAATAATTATAATTACATATCATGCTTTAATAAAATGTATCTATAGATAAGTTAATAATAATAATAACTAAACGAATATTAAACTCTTAGTTTGAATATTTCATATTTTTAATCAAAATCTTTTACATCTCTGATGTTATGTGGGTTCTTAATTTTCTTTGGAAATATTTAAAAAAATAAAAAATCTTGCATTTGGCTGATATATTTAAGTTTAAAATTCAATTAATTAAATCAATCTCACGTAATGAAATTGCTTTGTTTTGGTTATTAATGAGATAAATTTACTTCCTAATTAAATCAATCACACGTAATTTCTCCAATTGCACATTCTTATGCTAGACATTTTTTCCAAACGAGGTTGATCAGTTACAGACAAGATTTTTGGCAAGGATGTTGCCTTTTTTTTTTATTTTTTGCCCGGAGAATTTACGCACGTGTGACATGTGACAGGTGAGATGTCCTCGACTGATAGGAAAGTCAGTTCCAATATGGACTGTATTATCAATTTTCATAACTTTCTTGGATTGTTATTAATGCCCACAATAGCTGAATTATTTATTTTCATGTTTATTGGTACTAATTATTTAATATGTGTCACATTTATTTATGAGATTTGTAAATTATTTATCTGAAATGCATAATATTTATTTATGGGATGTCCTATCTAATATGCATGATAATTAATTAGTTGCTTATTTTTCATAATAATTAATTAGTTGATTTATTTGCATGGTAATTAATTATGAAAATACAAATTAAGAAACCAATAATAAGATGTTTAAATACATATAATTATATATGTTTAAATACATATAATTATATTAACATAAAGGTAAAAAAAAGTTTTAAAGAATAACTTTGTCAGGGATACACACTAGTCTCTCGCTTACGTATAAGTAAAAGTATAAGGAATTGTATGTTTGACACGTGTCAAATTTTTATGACGAAAATGCCCCTACATTGGTCCTCTTTTTACACTTGATGCCCTCTTTTCTTTGTACAGACTTCATCAACTTGCCCCTCAATTTTCCCCTCTTTAATGCAATTGCTGACCCTATTTTCGTATTTTAATCAGTGTTTTGAGACCCGGACTGGCCCGACGGGTCGACCCGGGACCCGGTCGACCCGGAGCCGGAACCGGTCTGGGTGGAGTATTTAGACCGGGAAACCAAGGACCCGGTCAAACCCGGTCAAAACCCGGCCGACCCGGCAGAGACCCGGCCGACCCGGGGCATTGACCCGACCGGGTCAACCCGGTTGACCCGGTCCATATATATTTCTTTATTTTATTTATTTTTTTATTTTTTAAAAATAAAAATATGTATATATGTTTATATGGTAAATATTTATCATGAAATACATATTATTAACACTTTAATATACAAATTTTAAACACAAAACATTTAATTTTGTTACTTTTATGTATATTTATATAACAAAAATACTCTATATATAATTTTAAAAATTTTAAAATTAATTATCCGGTTCAGCAATTGACTCGGTGACCCGACGGTTGAACCGGTGACCCGAGGACCTGCCCGGGTCGATCACCGGCCCGGGTTTAAAAACTATGATTTTAATTATTAGTTCTTTTTTTCTTTCATCCGTGAAGACTGAAATACCCTCAACTGTTTTGCTAGCATTATTAGGTCCTCAAGACATTTTGGTAATTGCATATATCCTTTCCTTCTTGGTAGTACGTCTCCACCAACTCCCCACCTTTTCTGCTTTGACGATTGCGTATGCAGATTCCAAAAATCCTTACGTCCTCTCCATCTATTGCGTCTCAACCATTTCTCAACTGATTCTCGAGGTGGTCGAAAATTCAAAACTCTCTCCTCATAAATGGGCAAAAACGAACGACCGACCACTAGATACTTCTTTTTCTCTTGATCACCAACGCTGTGTCTTTTCTTTGTCCGTTCTCCGAGAATTGGGTTAACTTCTGCACGCCGCTTTTTTGGCCGAGTCAGAGGAACTTCTGGTTCTTCAGTGGCATCTCGATTGTCCTCAGGTTCGATTACAATGACTTCAGTAGTCGATTGAACCTCAGGCTGCTTAATTTTTGTAGTCGGATCTGCCTCAGACGAACTAATGGCAATCGCAGAAGTAGCTATAATTGGATCAAAAAGTTGTGACTGTCAAGAGATGTGGTTCCGGTACTTCAACAGCAGCAGTCGACGTTGCACCTTCGCCAAAGTCGGTCTCTTTTGGATTCATAATTGGGTTGTCCAAATAAGCCTTCACCAATTTCTTGCGTCCCATTTCTGATAAACGTCGATCTTTACTTTTTCCGACTTTGGTCCGGAGATCTAAATTGGGACTTTTCTGGCGAAAAGCTTGAGCGTCACGAATGGTTTTGAATCCAAAAACTCCGAGAAGTGGATAGTAAACTGCAATCAGAAAATCGAGTTATGATAATTTTAAAAGGTAACCGACTCCATACAAGATTGACAATTCAATTCGAGCTCACCTGGTTGAAAAGAACCGTACTATCTTCGGCTTGAATAGACATCTTTTTCGAAATCGATAAAAGAAAATAGCATATTGGAAATTGATGAACAAGAAAACAGAGAAGATTAGGGCAAAGCCTTACCAAAAATTAAGCGTATTCAATTGACGAAGGAATGGAGAAATCACACAAGCTACACGAAATTGGAACAGAAAGAATAACTTAAGAGGATTTGAATAGAAAGATGAAAGCGAAGAATTCGAAGATTAAAGGTGAGAAACCTTTTGCAGTTAAAATCGACACTTATTTAAAGGTTTTGATTTATTACCGTTGGCAAAATCAGAAATCGGCGCGTGTAACAGACCTGTCATGAACCAGTGTAACGTTACAGTAATGATTAACAGACGTGGGCAAGTCCTGAAACGCCACCTCATTCAATAGTTTTATCCGTTGGACCCATTAAATATGGGCGCATCTTTTAAGAATTGCCACGTCAATCTAAACGTTATGTAACCACCGCAAGTGAAGTTAAAAATACCAAGTACTTCCATGTCGGTCGTAATATGAAGAGAAGTCGAAAAACGATCAAGTCGGAATTATAAGGACAAAAAAGCGACATTAGCACCCATTTAAATGATGGAAGTTTAAATATCTACTAATGTCGGGGGCCTCTCTGTTGATAACCGACTTGGAGACATTGTTAATAATCGACTTGGTTTGAAGGGATTCGAATTAAAAAATAATTGTTTTGCCCAAAGAATACTTTAGAAATGGACAAACTTGGTCCAACTCGGTGGAGGTCAGATATGTTACCGACTTCTAGATGGAAAACCGACATCAAAACGATCAAACAAAGAGTATTAAAAAAGGAGCTGATGACCGACTTCATCAAATCATATTCGTAAGAGATTATCCGCTCATCCGATATCCAAGAAAGATCAAGTTTTTGAGTAAAAGGAGCTGTACACGTTTGATTGGACCATTTAAGCAAACAGCAATCATTGATGTTCCCTTATTCTACTACACACCGCTTAATTGAAGTTGCTCAACATTAAATACGCTCTTATCCATCTTGAGCAAAAAGACAAAAACTACCGTACTATAAATAGCTGAATTTATGATAGTATGGGGGACTTTTTTTTTGGGACACATTGTACACGGACTAGAAATGAACTCGGTTATAAAATTCCAAAAACCGACTCCTGTACTTTGATAATTATATAAAATAAAATCAAGTTTTACGTTTATCTTACGTTTATCTCTGTTTTAACACCTCAGCTGTACATGATTTCACGTTGTTAATTCTAGACAACAACACACCTGTTTTAATATTGTATGTCTGCAGCTGAAAGCATAGCTGTGTTGTTCTATATTTGTTCTTTTGGGCTTCTTTCTAATCGGACCTTTTGGTGCACTAATCTTTTCCTGTCTGTTAACGTTTTTTTATTTCTTCCATCTGGTTCAGTTCAGTTCTGATGGTGAGGAAGGTACATACCATACTTAGCGGGTTCCTTTGCTTTCCATAGGTAAAAGTCTAGATGATGGAAATTATCCTAGAACTCTTAAACCGAATTTGAAAAACCTATTTTTCCTCTTCTCCTTCATGTTTTTAAGAGTTAGATGCTTCTATATCTTATTTGATCTCACAGAACAAGAAACTTGGAGGCTGGCTTGCCAAACTATAGCAAGGGATAAGAAAAATTCAGGGGAGGTATATGCTTTTGCAAGTTATGTTCCATTATATAGCTTTATGTTTTGTTTGTGCATGTGAATTTGATAGTTAAATCTCTTAGTTTTTAGGAAATCATAGGTCAACAAAAGAGGATTGGTTGAGGTTGGCGGCCAAATGCATGTATTTGTAGTCGTATGAGGCGAACAAGAGATTTGACACATTTAAATTTTCAATTTTTTTAGGCGACAATAGAGTAATAAATATTTGGGGATTGTTAGACTAAATTTAGGCTGGCTGTGCACGGAAGGCCGCTAGTGTTTACATATGAGTATGCGACTGTTCAGTGATAACTGATACCAATACCATACGACAGCGTTTAGCTATGAGCCTATGACAGTGAAGTTAAAAAAAACAAAAATCTTAACTATTATTTTATCACTGTGGCATGAACATGACTTGTTATAATTGGGACTTGTTATAATTGGGGGTGATATGTGGACCCATGCTATAAATACGATCAACATGATTTGCCCAAAGGTGGGTGGATAAATATTGATATAAAATATTACTATATATTATCAAAGTAGCCACCGACCGTCACTCTTTCAATCTTATTCAATCAGCACGTATTTCAAATTTTCGCTAGTATTATAATCACTATTCTTTGTTTATAAGCGGACACTGACGAAAACAATTTGCATCGTTCGATCAAACATGTGTAATTAAAGGATAGAAAATTTGGAAAGTTTTAATTTGAAAATTTATTTTTTCTGCAACCATGGAACTTGAAAAATAGTACTCTTATTGGAAAAGTAAATGCTAAAAAAATGGTACTACACCCAGGGATTGAGCTTTATCGAGTTTAGTTGTAATGCCAAGTCAGTATCAAATGGATCCACCACTTTTCTCTTTTCCTTATTTTTTTTAATGAAATTGTACTTATGTTCTGTGTGGTAATAATCACAGTCATGATTTAAATGTTAGGTCACCACTTAAAAAGTTGAAAGGAAAAAATGTGTTGTTAAATTTGTCATCGCCTCATGCATGCTGCTAATTGATGTGTATATCCTAACCACCTGTGAATTACAAGCACAAAAATAAATAAATCAATAAATAAATGAGGAATATATCTATCTACTTACCCACAACGGGTTTTAATAGTTAATTGATATAATTTATTTAATTTCGGTAGTACTTCTACACTGCTAGTCTGCTACTAACAAAATGCATCATACTTTCTGTACAAATAATAGAAAACTCAAACCCATTTTTTAATAATAATAATAATAAAGCGCTGGTATTATGAGACTGTCTCAGCTTAAAAATAGTCAATAATGACAGATATATAAAATAAAAACAATAAATTAAATGCATAATTAAAGGGGTGGAGTGAAANTATTTAGTCAGTGAAATATTAAAGGAGCACGGAATTTTTTTATTTTTATTTTTTTCGAAACGGCAATATATTATCTCATAAATAAAATGTTCAAATCGTACACGGGATCCATCGGACCACGATCCAAAGTGGATCAGAGGAGAGCTCACAGGCTTCCTAGAAAACAGAAAAATACAAATCGGGCAATAGTAACAGCCGCAAGAACGCGCGGAAAACCTGTTAGTAGCCAAACAATATGATCTATGAATAAACTAAACCAAATGTTTGAACATCTATCCAAAAACAGAGAACTAGCCACTGCAAATACCTAGCTAGGAAAATTTAAGATAAATAAGCTCAAAGAGATGAAAATTCTTGCCATTCTTTTAATGCATTGCTCACAACAATCTGCTCAGGAGTCCAGAGCTTTTGAAAAACCCATAGATTTCTTGTTTTTCAGAGTTGCCATAAAATATAGGTTGAAAGCTGTATTTTGTGATCAATGGATTTTTCAGCTTTTATTAGGCAAAGGTCTGTCCACCAGTGTGTGAAGTTGTTATGGAATTTAGCCGGCCCTTCCCAATGAACAGGTGACAATCTCCAGACTGTTTGAGCTCTTGGACAGTGAAAAAGAGCATGTTCAGTTGTTTCTGGTTCTTGGCCACAGAGCATGCAAATGCTATCAATCTTGAGACCTCTCTTATACAAGGTGGTAGCAACTGGGAGAATACCACTATAGCATTTCCATATAAAGTGCTTCACTTTGCCCTTTATTTTTAGCTTCCAGCTTCTGTTCCTCATTTTCCTTAGATTAACAGCATTTGTACTATTCTCTGGAATATCAAGCTGTAAGATTTTGTTATAAATTAAATGAGCATAAGTAGAAGCCACAGTGAAAACTTGTCTTGGGTTGAAAGACCATGTAGCCTTGTCTTGGAGATGCCTGCTCAATGTGTTGATTTGGAGAATAGCTTGGCATTCTGAGTGGGAGAAACATCTTCTAAGGAGGTCCTCTTTCCATGATACTCCATGTTCTGCAATTAATTCAGACACCCAGGTTAAAGATGGTGTTGTGCTGGATTTGTTTAACAACTTATAATTGGAAAGGTTTGGCACCCATGGTTGCTCCCAGATCTTTGTTTTTCTGCCATCTCTTACTTGCATCATGAAGCCCTGGAGGAACTTTTTCTGCAGTTTTAGCCATGATCTCCACAGCCATGAGGCATTTTGATTAGGTTTGGCACCAAAGAAGTCTCCAGTAGGGAAGTATCTGTGTCTAAGAACTCTGCTCATGAGAAGTCCTGGTTTGGTGATCAGCCTCCATATTTGCTTTAGGATAAGTGCTTCATTGAAAACCTGGAGATCATGAAAGTTTAAACTCCCAGCTGCCTTGGGAAGAGTTAGTAATTTCCATGCTTTCCAGTGAATGCCAGTTTTGTTTGCAGATTGAGAGCACCACCAAAATTGGGCAAAAAGCTGAGATAATTCTTTACATAAGCCCACAGGCAAGAGGAAACATGACATAGTGAAGATTGGGTGCACTGAGAACAGACTTGACTAGAACTTCTTTACCTGCTCCTGATAAGAATTTATTCTTCCAGCTCAATAGCCTGCTTTTAACAGCATCCACCAAATATTTGAATGTTTCTCCCTTGGATCTTCCAATGCCAAGTGGCAATCCCAGGTATCTCGAGGAGTGTTACACAGTAATGCCCTGTAGGATGTGACCAATATTTCTCTGCACATCTTCTAGTGTGTTTTTGCTGAAAAACACCGAAGATTTCACCATGTTGACTTGCTGGCCTGTAAAGCTTTTGTATTTTTCCAACATTTCCAGAATAAGGTTAGCAGAATCAGCAGTGGCTTGGCAAAATAGTAGTGAATCATCAGCAAAAAAGAGGTGACTGAGTATTGGGCCTTGCCTTGATATTTTTAGTCCCTTATATGAACCAATAGCCATTTCATGCTGAATTAAGCAAGATAAGCTCTCTGACACCAAGAGGAACAGATCCCTTGTCTGATTCCTCTTGTAGGAAAAATATATCCAGCAGGATGGCCATTAAGTTTGAAAAAAAATGAGGAAGATTTCACACAAGCCATAATCCATTTAACAAAGTTCATATGAAATCCCATTTTTTCCATAATTTTACTTATGCTGCCCCATTCAATTCTGTCGAATGCTTTAGACATATCAAGCTTTAGAGCCATATATCTTTTAGTGCCAGTTCGATGTCTATTGAGAAAGTGAAAAACCTCTTGAGCAATAATAACATTATCAAGCAACTGCCTATCAGGAATGAAAGCTGCTTGGGTGTTACTAATGCATAAAGGCAGGCAGGGCTTTAATCTGTCAGAAAGAATTTTTGAAATGACTTTATAAATGACCTCACATAAGCTTATTGGCCTGTAATCTCCCACATTTAGAGGCACTTGACATTTGGGGATTAGGGTTATTAAAGTGAGGTTCCAGTTTTTCAGAATATGCCCAGTGTTGAAAAAAGATGTAACAGCTTCACACAAGTCATTTTTAATGATACTCCAAAATTTTGAAAGAAAGAAGGTGTCATACCATCCCATCCTAGTGCTTTATCTGGGTGCATGCTCAATAATGCGTTTCTGATCTCTTCTTCTGTTACTTGTGCCACAAGTGTTTCATTTTGAGCCTCAGTAATGGTTGTAGGAATGTAACTGATGAGATTACCAATATCAACAGAACCCTCGGATGTGAATAGAGTTGATAGAAGTTTGTGAGGCAATCCTCTATTTCTTCTCTGGTGGAGCATACTGTTTGGTCATCTCTGATTATTCTGGAAATGGCATTGTGTTTTCTTCGTTGAAGTGTACAGGCATGAAAGAATTTCGTGTTGTTATCTCCTTCCTTAAGCCATAGGACCCTGGACTTTTGCTTCCAAAATAGCTCCTCCACTTCATATGCTTCATCTAGCTGTTTCTTAAGCAGGTTTCACCTCTCCCAATTTCTGGTACCCCCTTGTTTTCTCAGTCCCTTCATCTCAGCAGTGATCTTTTCAATGGTTTTGGCTGATTCAGTTTTAAATGTTCTGCTCCACTTTAAGAGTGTTATTCTTGTTGCTTTGATTTTTTCAGTGAGTCTGAACATTGGGGAGCCATCGGCTGGTTGGCTCCAAGCCCTTTGAATTTCTTCCTTGATACCTGGTTTCTTGAGCCATCTCTTATCGAAGCAAAATTGCCTTTTTTTGTTTTCCTGTGGAGTGCCAGTATGAAGTAGTAGAAGATTGTGGTCTGAAGCACTTCTGAAGATGTTGATGACTTTAGCTTCTGGGTATGACTGAAGCCAATGCAATGAAGCCACCATTCTGTCCAGCTTTTCTTCAATATACCCTTTAGCAGGTCTATTGTTTCCCCAGGTGAAGGGATAGCCTTCCATGTAAATTTCCTGCCCTCCAAAATTTGCGAGACAGGTTCTAAAGCCCCAGAAGCTTGCTTCAGGTCTAAGTCTTCCTCCATTCTTTTCTCCTTCGCATAGTATGTCATTCCAATCACCTGCAATGACCCATTTGCTGCCCCAATTGTCTTTAGCATAGTTAAGGTATTGCCATTGATGAGCTCTTGTTTTCCTACATGAGCTCAGATAAACAAAAATAAACCAGGACTTATCATGATTTGTAGTAAGGCTGAATTCTATTTCAATACAAAAAGATTGACATATGAGCTGGTGAATGATTACATCTTTATCCCGAAAAACTAATAATCCTCCCCCCTTATTAACAGGATCAGAGGTTATCCATCTATTTTCTACTCCCAAGTTTCTACATACAGTATCTATGAATTTTTTGGATTTTCTAGTTTCACACAGAAAAACAAAATTTGGGTGGTGGGATCTCCAGGATTCCTTGAGTTGTGGAACTGTAGAGGGTCCACCCAGACCTCTACAGTTCCACACCATGGTTGTCATTTATTCCCTTGGGGCCACTTTAGGCTGGCTTCCTCCACCTGTGCGACGATCATCTTCTGTTTTTTGTTGGGGCTGTCTTCGGCTTCTGGTTGTGTTGAGGGTGCAGGGATCTCATTGTCAACAGGCTTGTTTCTTTTTCCACTCTTTGAGTGGATAACATGTGCATTGGTGGTGTTGGAGTTACTTGCACTTGCTGCCTTTGCCTGTTTTCTTGTCCATTTCTTCCTGGGTTCTTGCATTTTTGCTTGCTTATCCTCAAGGATTGGTTATTGTGGTGCAGACAGTGAGAAATCCATCAGCTGCTCATTTCCAAGTGATGTGGCATTGCTGTCGAATTTGAGAAGGAGAGCTTTGCTTTCTGGCTGGCTTGTCTTATTTTGTATGCTAGCAGGTGGCTGGTTTGAAGTGTTGGGCACAAGGGCCAGTTTCGTTGAATTTTCTTTTTCATTGAGAGAGGCATTGGAGTTACTAGTCTCAACTTCCTGCTGATTTCCATTTGCTGAATTACCTTGGGGGTTGGGAGTCTCTTGTGGTGTGACTGTTGTATCCGAGGATCTGTTTGGTCGAGGTGAGAAAGTTCCTTCGGCAGCCTTTAGCCATTCCCCATATTGTCCTTCTGATAAGGTGCCATTTGAGATGTCCTCCATTCGGAAATTGCAGGTTCTGTCAAGGTGCCCAATTCGTTCGCAGTAGTGGCACAGGTTTATTAATTTCTCATACTTAAACTCTATTCTTCTGATTTTATCGCCAAGTTTGATACAAGTGCACCGCAGCAGTGGCTCATTCAAATCAATAGTAACCAATAACCGGAGATATCTCCCACAATTACCAGAACCAGTGCTAATAGTCACATTCTTTACTTTCTTGAATGACTTGCCTATCTTTAATCCCACATCAGAACAAAGCCAGCCAAGAGGTATATTGCCTACCTGGACCCAGATGTCCATCTCTTTGAAGCAATCGTGGTTTGCTGACAAGTCCTCTTGCCACTCCTTTAGGATAATGTATTGGTTCTCGAAGGACCAATTTTTGCCAGATGCGACCTTGTTTTTCTCAGATTCAGAATCAAAGATGAATTGAAAAAAGCTTGGCTCAATCTCTCGGACTATAAGCGGATGCTTGAGTTGCCAAATTTGCACCATAGTTCTCTTAAGCCCAAAGAGATGCGCTTTCCGATCACCAACAATTTTCCCAAATAGGCTACGTCTACATTCGTCGGCGCTAAGTCTAATGTCCGAATAGTCGAGGTCTGTGATGTTTTCCTCTTTTTGTGAGAGGGAGAAATTTTCTAGACGATTCGTGATGTCTTCTTGCATCGTGAAAAAGAAACGAAAACTGTAGAGAGAGAGCGATGGGGGTGAATAGAGGGTTAATGTGAAGGGGTAGTTGAGGTGAAAGAGATATTTAGAAGGTTGAATCTAATCGAAAACCGGTAATCAATAGCGAACTCCCAAGGGGAGAAAACCCTAACCAGACACCGGTAATCCTCGATCACTACCAAACCCCTTACTTCGTACACAATTGTTATGATAATACTTTTATTATTTTTTATTTAATTAATTAGACATAATAACTCAAGTTGCATAAATCACGTTACGACAATTAAAATAGTAATTTATATGTAAGCTAAATAGTTTATATTTATAACGTTCATTTTCACCAATTTTAAATTTTATAAAATGTAATATGTTCGTTGTCTAAGTTATAATTTTAAAGTCTTCATGCTCTCTCTCTCTCTATAGAATTTTCTCTCCTTTCTCTTTAGTTTCCTCTCCCATTAGTTTTACATTTTTCCTCTTTCCTTTTTTTTTCAGTCATCTTTTTTCAGTTCCGTTCAACCCCTTGCCGGCCGCTGTCGCCGGCGATTGGCCTCCGGCCTCCTNCCCTCCGATGTCTTTTCCGGCAACTTCCAACATGTTTTCGGCGACCACCTCCCAGTCTTTGGCTATCTCGTCTCTATACCTAGCAAGGTCAGAGCTTCAACCCTTGGTTACGACAAACACGACTATATCGAGCTCGGCCATGGCTCTCACCAGCCACACCCCCTCGATTTTCCAGAACTCAGAAGATAGAAAAAAATGAAGAAAAGCAGCCTCAGGCCTGCCGGGTGCCGATTTCGCTACGGCAACGAACGCCGAGATGGTTTCTCTTGCCGTCTCCGAGCTTGCAGCCACGGCCTCGACGACATCCGGCCCCGGGCAAGCAGCGCACACGGAGCCTGTCATTGGCACTCTTGTTGTTCCTTTCGCCGGAGCCTTGAACTCAGTCAATTTTGGGCCGACGTCGCACATGGAGAGGATTTCCCGCGCGATCGCCGTCCTTTTGACTCTCTTCCCGGAGCTCGACGTTTCACCATCAGCCACGGCCTCGACGACATCCGGCCCCGGGCAAGCAGCGCACACGGAGCCTGTCGCTGGCACTCTTGTTGTTCCTTTCGCCGGAGCCTTGAACTCAGTCAATTTTGGGCCGACGTCGCACATGGAGAGGATTTCCCGCGCGATCGCCGTCCTTTTGACTCTCTTCCCGGAGCTCGACGTTTCACCAGTTTTTTCACCATCCATAACTCCCCTCGCTAGTTTGACGACTTTGCACGGGCCGCAAGTAATCGTCGGACACTCCACCACATTTTTTTCGGCCTATCAACGTTTACCTATGGGAGTTGACCCGATGGCCACCACCTCTTCTTTGAATATGGTTGGCCAACACTAAAATTTCTCCAACAACCTTTTATATGGTGGCCATGTGTTAGGGTTTGAGAGGTTGGGGGATGACGTGGCTAATTCTCATCTAAGTGGTCAGATCTTAAGCGACTTGGGCCAATTGGGCCACCTAGATCGACCTTAGGTTGGGTCCAATCCTAAACAGGAGCCCTTCATCAAGCTCACGGGCCACGCAACATCTTTGGGCCGCACGGTTTTCGTTGGGCTGTAGGTAAGTGTTGGGCCCGTCTCTCTCCCCACCTCCTTTTCTTTTGTCCCTTTGGGCCAGTCACCTGGGCCCACCCTAACAGGCCAAATCTCTCAACCCACTAAACCCTCAGCAGCCCAGCCTGTCCCCACTCTTATACAACCCAAACAGGCCACAAAACCCACCTAGCCCAAACCCCATCTAACTCCCAACCCACCATCTCTCTATCTGCAGCAATAGCCAACTCACCAGCGACTGCCACCTCAGCCGACCTGCCGGTGCTCGCCACTATCACTCCGCCGCCGGTCGGCTACTTCAGCGTCAGCGCCGGGGACCCCAGGCCACCGAAGATTGCAATTTGTCAGTCAAAATTCTTGGCCCCGGGCCCATTTCTCCAACAGGCCCTGTCTCACTGGAAGCTAGCAACTCGGCGCCGCTCAGCGGAGCTCCTAACATCAAACAGCCCCTGACGGGCACTCCTTCGAGCCCTTCCACAGCCATCGGGACCATTCCGACTTCCACGTCGGCGACACCGGCTGCGGCCCCCGATCCGTTCGGGATACAATCACCGGCCAATCTGCGGTAAACTGGGACGTCATAAAATCTCGCTTGAAAAATTCCTTGCTAATCACTGTGGGACTGTCTCGTGCACTGGAAGGAACAGTTCAAGGTAAGTCTTCCTAAGCTTGATGTTTCTTCTCTTCTCGGATCGTACGACAATGCCTTGATTTTTAAGTTCTCTTATATTGTCCCCAACCTCCGAGATTTTAAGTTTGGATTAGAAAAATTAAGGTATAAGGGTAGTTACAAGCCTAAGTACTTTAATTTCAATCATTACCTAGTCATATTCGAGCTTAAGGATACTATAATGAGTCGTGGATCAAGACTTCTGTGAACGTCTATGGGTGCACTACCTTGGTGACTTATCTCCGTCGGCCGTGGCACCTATTGCCTCAATTTGGTGTCACTTTCCAGGCCTTCTCCTGCACTTGTACGACCCTACCGTTCTTTTCTCAATTGCTAGTTGTATCGACAATCCGATCGAGGTTGATGTAGCCACGACCAACCGAAGGAGGATATCTGTCACATAGGTGTGCGTCGAGATAGACCTCCTCGACGAGCTCGTCGATGAGATCGTGTTCGACCAGGCTGAGAAGACCACCACTCATAAGGTGGTCTATAAGAGAATCTCGCCTTACTATTCCCTTTGTGACCATGTGGATTAAGTTGGGGCTAGCTGCTACACCAGTGGTAACAAGCGTCGGTCGTCGCTTCCACAGTGCCGCCGTGCGGCTAGATCGGGCCCCCTAGCTGCTTCAGGGGACCTCAAGGACAAGGTAAGGCCCTTTTCCACGCGCCTGAGTCTCTGAAGGGACATAAGGATGAGGGTAAGTGAGACTGCACTGCCTAACCGGCCCAAGGGGGGTTGTTATGGACGGGCTAAAGGCCAAGTCCACCGGCTTCTTCCCTCCCCAGTCTCTTGAAATGGCCTCCAAGGCCAACAACTCGTACTTCTCTATCCTTTCTTCTGATATGGAGGACGATCCCTCATTCTCCTCTTATCCTTCAGAAGACATGACTAGTCTTTCTCTCAACGACGACAACCTCCTGGATGATGAGACACACTTGCCTGACATTTCAGTGGGTGACGAGCCCGCACCCCTCTACAACGACAGCTTCTGTGACGTTGCATCACCTAGCGAGCTCGATACCTCAGAGGAAGGATCTCAGGTCTCGAGGCCACTCCCGCCTCTGATCCCCCAGAAGGGGCTGAGTCGACCCTTGCTCTTTCCACCGAGAGTGTGCAATTGGTTGTGTGCACAACCAATGCCTCTTCTCAGCCCGCGGTCGGGGACGCTAACTCCTCGCCTCCTGGCTCCTCCCCTCTTCTCCCCTCCTTGTAGGTGTTGGGCTTCACAATGCTTTATTAATCGACTTCTTGGGTCGAGACTAGTACCACTGAATGCTTTATTAATATGTTGAAACTTAATCCACCTGTAGGGTTTAACATAATAATCCTTCTTGAGCTCATCTCAGAGAAATCATCAGATTATCGTACACGGTAGCCGTATATAATCGATCAACACACCATACACACAACATCACTACCCAAAACTTGTTAGATTATTAATTCCGCAGTATGGATCTCACATTTTGGTGAATTAAAGTAGCAGCTACTGTATGCACAAGCCTATTTATATCTTACTGGTTAAGAATACGTAATAATTAACTGAGGTCTAGTCTTTTTTACCGTTCAGTTCAAAACAAACTTATCCTCTCTAGGATTCGTTCAATGCACACAATGCACTAGTGTAACCAATCATCCAAGACATACTGTGTACAGTTAACAGTACAACAATTCACGATGTGTTGTTAATTTCCATCTAGGTCGTGAACTAAATTATTTACGTTTTATGAGTAACCAGTACGTAATATTCTGTCTCATCCATGATGGACCACAATATCCAAATGTAAAACATCAGAACACAAAACAGTTTAATTAAACATAATTCTCATTCAAAAGAAAGATAATGTTTATTACGCAAAAAGTCAAGTTTTAAGTAGATACACCAACAAACACAACTAGTGGGCCCATGTCCAACTTTGCGTTCACTTGAATAATAGAACATTCCTCTAAAGTATTATTATTGTACTTCACAATTAGCTCTGAATTACAATTAATTCGTCTACCGACTAATTGCTCGATTTGTCTCTCCATGTTTAAGATATAACATGCATTGATTAATTTAATTTCTGACAATATAATTAATCAACTTCTTGAAGCGAGACTAGTACCACTCAATTCTTTATTATTATATCGAAAATTAATTCATTGGATGAGTTTAACATAATAATCTTTCTTGAGCTCATTTTGGAGACGTCATCAACCCGGCTAACCAAGACACAGTGACCGTAAACAATCTTATGACACATCATGCACTCGACATTATTTACCAAAATGTAGAGTATGTCAACCTAATAGAATAAGTCTGACCCATTGTAAATCAAACAAATAAGTACCGAATACATATGCCCATTTATTGTCTTTTGAGTTAAGAGAGAGCAACAATTTCTGAGGAATGAATTATTTATTCGGTCAGTATATTATAAACTTATCTTTCTGTAGGTCATGTTAAATACATCTCAGATGCACTAGTATAATTCGTTAGTCAAAGATCAACTAACTAAAAAATCACACTACAACCTTTCACGACAATTAGTTCAATTTTGTCTAGGCTATGAAAAAATATTTATATTTTAAAAGGAAGTGATAATATGATCTTTCTGTTTGACACATGAACCATATTATCAACAATTTAAAATAAAGGACTGTTCACATAAATAAATAAACTACGAACATACACTTAACTAAAGACACGAACTTCATTCAAAATGGAACTTGACGAGGTGGTCGAAAAGGTTTATCTTTGAGCGAAAAGAGCTCAAACATGGTGGTCGAAAAACAACAGACGTGAGTTCAAATTTTCAAATTCAAGACTTCGGGAAGAGATCGTGAAAATTTATCAAAGTATCATGGAAGTCCAAGTAAGCAGGTCAATAGATATCAAAGGCAAGTCCTACGGTATTCGACCTCAAAGGTAGGTCTTTCGGTATTCCACCTTAGTGGTTACCTGGTGTTCGACCTTAGAGGCAGGTCTTTCGATTTTCGACCTCAGTGGTCATTCGGTGTTCATTTGGGTCCCGGTGCTCATTTGGAGGTTTGGTGACTATTTGGTGGACGGGGATTTATTCAAATTATAACCTCAGTGGCAGGTTGATGGAAACAGCTAGAAGGCGCATTTCACTCTTGGATCGAGTTATGCTCACTCGACATATCGAATAAAGTTGTGAGAGAATTGTATTTTGAAGATATTGTTTAAGAAAAATCTACAATCTTGAAGATGATGGAAGAGAAGAACGGAAGACGCCCCTATATATGGCCAAAAAAGTAACCATCAAAGCTAAGATAAGGGCATCGGTTTTCGAGAAGGTTGACACATATTCATCCTTAAAAGGTGCCACATGTCCCATCAAGAAAAGTCGTGTTCTGTCTTTTTTAACTACCACAAAGTAAACTGGAATTTTGTTGCGATCCCGTTCCGGAAAAATTCGATGTTGATCCAACGCGGTTGACCTTCGTAAAAATTGACAAAAATTACACACTTTTCCAGGTCCCCTTTGTGATCTTGTCATCCCTTCGGCGACCTGAAAACCTGGGGGGCCTCTAGTGTGTATGTATTAGAAATATCTTCAGAAAGCCCATGTGATTAAGACGGGAACACAACCCATTATCACTGAAGCATCTCACGCCTATGAAAAGCCCAAGAACACTAGTGCAATCGGCCAAATAGTGAGAGGATGATCTACCGATCACCTGATCGTCACATATCGATAAATGTTGATCCCAGGATCGTCGATCACTCTGCAAAATATGAACGCACTCTGACAGACTAAACAGGTAAAACCACTAAAGAGGTTACACCATCGCCCAAATGGTATAGTCTCGTCGTCCAGACTGGTGGTGTCTTACAGGCCTGGGAAAAGTATGTCTCATCCTCAAAACGCGGACTTCTGCATGGCACCACGCGTCCTCCGCTTATCTATCAAGGTGGAAATAGCCATAATTACATTTCACTTTTTTCCTTGTATAAAGGTGGCCCTCGATACCTCATTTTAGAACAAGCCAGTTAAGTCGAAATAAAAAAAGAAGAAAAGGCAAGATACACTCATACTAGCATACATTAGCTCACTTTGCAACTGCCACAGTAACAACAATTTTTTTCTAGTCAATTCTTTAGAGAGCACATCTCCTCGTCGATTTCCTAGTAGAGCGGTGAAATCGTGTGTCCTTTATTTATTTTCTATTTCATACCGCTGTTTATCTCTTACTAAGCATAATATATATCGAACTCCTACATAATCACTTTTTATCTACCCTTAACCCTGTGATTAAGGGATGTTGGCAATCGCTTGTCAACAATTTTATTTGCACTTGCATAGGATAATGTTTTAAACAGCGTTGAGTAGTGTTCTTTAAAGCATGCAATAGAGCTAATTTTCACTAAAACACAATTTAGCGAATAAAATTTAATATTTTTCCCGAAAAGCTTACACGAAATGCTGAAATGACATGTTTTATTATGCTATTTAACTCTATTTCACGATAATTTGTGCTATTTTACGTTATATTCCCCACAAAAGAATTTAAACAAGAAAATATTTAAGAAATTATATTTTTTAGGGATTAGAGTTATATTTTCAATTGGCAACTAAAGATTAAAAATTTTAATATCAATTTCAAATTAATTGAGAATTGAAAGTCCTTAGTCGAATAGTGCAATCGATCTAGTCCTATTATATTATTCTATTTTTTGCTATATGACATTTCAATTAAAGCATAGAAAAGTTCATATCTAGTTGTTGGAATTAAATTGCAGTTGTTGACATCCGACTCGAACCATCCACTAAGGATGTGCCACGTGGAGGGTAAGGTAAGGACCGAGATTAACGGCGAATAAAAATGGAAGAGAAGACCGACTTCGGATGCCCAGGAACAAGACAAACCGGAAAACCGACTTTATCCCACGGGCCGTCGACTGACTTCAGCAACAGACCGAGGTCACTTTACACCAAGGTCTCCTCGACAAGGAAGCGATGCCCGTCAGTCAGCTGTCACTTCGCACGTGTTCTCATCATTGCTTGCAGGCCCACTTGCAGGATATCTGACCCTATGCAATCAACTCGCATTAAATGTCGTCGAATCATCTCAAAAGACGAGCCAAAAGTTACTATAAATAACGCATTTACTCTGATACGAGGATCTTTTTCAGACACATTAAATTACAACATTTAACAACTCGGTTATAGCGAAAACCGATATCCTATATTCAGAACCGACATCAAAGTTCTACAATAAAGACTCATATTTTCTTTACAACTTAATCTGCATTAAGATTGTTGTTATTTTTCGTATAACAACAGTAGTTAAATTATAAAATTTAATTAAAATAAACATACTTAAAATTAAATTATGACTTACTTTTATATTTTTGTTATTTGTTTTTAAGCATATTCACTTTATTATTTAAACGTTCGTATTAAAATATTTACATTAAACATTTGTGAGAAACAGTTCTTGAATACTTCCTCCTATTCATAATAAGTGTCGTTTTAAGAAGTTGCACAGTAATTAAAGATATTTTTTTTTGTCAATAATAACTCTCTTTAATGAATATAGAGAATGATGTTTTGGGAAAAAATGAAGAATTAATATGAAAATACGTAATATATTTATTAGCTAAATGGAGGTAATAATCGAAAAATATGTATAAAAGATCCAAAACGACATTTATTTGAATAATAGTTGATAATGCCAAAATGATATTTAAAAAGAATAGGAGGTAGTATTATTTTTAAATTCATTCTAATATAATGATTACTTTTGGAATCAGGCAATCATTTTTATTATATGCATATATATATATATATAATATTTTATAAAAAAAAAATTATATTCAAATAATTTCCGCAACCCGTAACGTTAGACATAAATTTACGCGTTTTAAAACACTAGTATACTCAAGAAGAGGGGGGTGAGGGGACAGGAGATTAAAACGTCAAAACTGGATAACGACCACCTTTTCCCGCTTTTCATGCTTGTAATAATGTAATGTAATGTAATATGCTTTTCTTTTCCTATTTCTCTTACTACAATTCTTGACTTTTTAGAACGATGAAACGAGAATCTCAGGAGAAAGAAGCACACAAGCACAAAAAATTCCTTTATTCACGCTCCTTTGTAAGCACGAACAAATGCTTTTGAAGATTGAGAACAATATAGTATTTTAATTTCATTTTTCAAATCGGGGCCCACAGGACAGGACAGGCCCTATAACGCTTTAGACAAATTGTCATCTACGATTTGAACACAAACTGTTTGACAAAAATGGCCAAAGAACTCTGCCCACAGCAACATTTCTCACTGGCACTCTGCCACTTTCTCTTTCTTTCTCTCTCCTCACCTTGTCTCACTCTCTCCACATTCTTGTTCTCTCTCTCAAGATCCTTCTCTTTCTGGGATTTCCTCAAAATCCCTGTCATATGGACAAACATCTCCACCACCAGCAACTGCCACTGGCTAAGTTCGCTCGTCAGCGTTGTAGTGAATGGTTTGTTTGCCCATTCAATTAATTTTCCGGTCTTCATTATTTAATTTTATTTTTTCTTTTTCTTCACAAGAGTTATGAGTAATTATGTTTAGTTGCATTCTTTGATTCGAGATTATTGCAGATTTTTTTGCTACATTGTGAAGAAATTTGAAGCGTTAGTAATGGGTAATAAAAGTTTTGGGATGGGACACAGTCACACAGATGATTGTTGTTTAGATTATAATTCTCCTATCATAATTAAATCATAACCCACTTAAGCTTGAAATGTTATCTATCTACTGTCTTATGAAGAAATAACCTTTTTTCTTTCTTTTTTTTTTTGATTTTTTTTTTTTTGTGTGTGTGTGTATTGTAGCCTATAGTTGTACAGTAATCTATAAAATATCAATACTCATCTCAAACAATTCCATCTGATATCTAGTTACTACTATATCTAATAATACCAACGCTTGTAATTAAGTAATATCGACATTAATTCGTCTACAGGGTGTTTCAAGATGTTCCAAGTGATATAACTATTGAAGTAGATGGGGGCACATTCACTTTGCATAAGGTAAAGTCCCCACATCTCTGCATCACTCATGTGAAAAACAACGGAGTATAAGTCCTTTCCTTGTGGTCCTCAACACAATGAATTGCTGTTCATTTAATTTTTTTCCTGCAATGTGATTGAGCAAAGCTAATTTTGTGCAATCTCAAAATCCAAGAAAACCTAATCACTGTTCCCCTGAAATTTTTTCAGTTAAATAGTAGTAATGTAATGAAAAATTGATGGTTGAATTTTGCAGTTTCCCCTGGTATCTCGTAGCGGGCTCATCCGAAAGCTAGTCGCCGAGAACCGAGACAGCGGCGTCTCGAAAATCGAACTCGAAGGCATGCCCGGCGGAGCCGAGTCGTTCGAGCTGGCCGCGCAGTTCTGCTACGGCCTCAACTTCGAGATCACGTCTGCGAACGTGGCCCACCTCTACTGCGCCTCCGAGTACCTCGAAATGACCGAGGCCTATTCGAGCCACAACCTCCTCTCCCGCGCCGAGGAGTACCTCGAGAGCGTCGTCTGCAAGAGCCTAGAGCTCTCGGTACAAGTCCTCAAGCACTGCGAACCCCTCCTCCCAGCGGCCGACGAGCTCCGCATCCCTGCACGCTGCGTGGACGCCATAGCCTCCAAGGCGTGCGCGGAGCAGATCGCGTCCAGCTTCTCGCGCCTCGAGTACAGCAGCTCTGGCCGCCTGCACATGAGCAAGCAACTAAAAAAGTGTGATGCCGTGGTAGACTGGTGGATCGAGGACCTGTCCGGGCTTCGGGCCGACTTTTACGAACGCGTCATCTTGGCCATGAAGTGCCGCGGCCTGCGCCCGGAGAGCATCGGGGCATCTCTGGTTAGCTACGCGCAGAAACAGCTCGTGAGGAAGGAGGAGGCGAACGAGCACGAGAAATTCGTGGTGGAGACGATTGTCGGTTTGCTGCCGGTCGAGAGATTCGCGGTCCCTCTGTCTTTCTTGTTCGGGCTGCTCAGGACTGCGGTGGTGCTCGACTGCGCAGTCTCGTGCAGGCTCGACCTGGAGAGGCGGATCGGGTCACAGCTGGAGCTGGCGACCATCGACGATTTGCTGATACCGTCGTTCCGCCACGCGGGCGATACTCTGTTTGATGTCGACTGTGTGCATAGGATCCTAGTTAACTTCTGCCAGATGGACGACAGCGAGGACGAGCTGGATGGGCTTGGCTCGGGTTTCGGTTCGGATGGGGGACTCTGCTCCCCGTCTCAGCCGGCGCTCTTCAAGGTGTCGAGGTTGGTGGACGGCTACCTCACTGAGATTGCGGCCGATGCGAATCTGAGGCTCAATAAGTTTGTGGCTGTTGCCGAGAGCCTACCGGCACACGCGCGTACCGTTCACGACGGGCTATACCGGGCTATCGATGTTTACCTTAAGGTAACACTTGAGAATAGTGGACGCTGAGTTAAATTGAGTTATATTTGAGTTGGAATTGAATGTTTTTACAAAAAGTTTGTAAACAAACAAGCTCTTAACTATTTGACAGGCCCATCACAGCCTGACAGATGCAGACAGGAGGAAGCTCTGCAAACTAATAGATTTCCAGAAACTATCGCCTGAAGCCGGTGCGCATGCGGCCCAAAACGAGCGTCTGCCTCTCCAATCGATCGTCCAAGTCTTATATTACGAGCAGCTGAGGCTACGAAACGCCGTATTCGGGCCCTACCCAGATGATAATAAGCCTGTGAACCAGTCTTGGAAAGTAAGCAGTGGGGTCGTGAGTGCTTCGATGTCCCCACGCGACAATTACGCGTCCTTGAGGAGGGAAAATCGAGAGCTGAAGCTGGAGCTCACGAGGTTGCGGATGAGGTTGAATGATTTGGAGAGGGACCACGTTTGCATGAGGAGGGACATGGAGAAGACGGGCTCCAAGAGATTTATAACTTCCTTTTCGAAGACGATGGGTAAATTGAATGTTTTTGGGAATGGTTCTTCAAGGGGGCCCACATCCCCGGCCAACAATGACACCAAATTGATGGAGAGAACATGAAAACGATGCTTATTTGAGCTATTACCCATTTTGTTTATTTATTTATTTTCAAAAAAAAAAAAAAAATTGAATTGTCTTGATGAGTATCCAAGGTGATGATACCAGACCAGAGATATTCTTCTTTTGTAGATAATTTATTAGGATAGTTACAATGAGTACCTTTGAGATATTGTCTGATAACAAATGTTGGAGTATCTTTTCAGCTATAGATTCTCAGCGTGCAATTTTTTAAAATGGAATCCTATGACGAGGGTGTAATTTTGAAGTACAACTCTCAACTTTTATGTTATTAATATTTAGGCTACATTGCTTGGGGTTATGTTTCATTTGATGGAAGTCCCTAAACCACAACTTTTTGTATGCGCTACATCATTGCCAATGCCACAATTCTGTTTGGTTTCTCTGATTCTCTCATATGTCATCAAATTTGTCATGACAAAACTGCAACATAAGATCATGTACATGGGACATAGTCGAGATTTTTTTTTTTTGTTTTGAAAGATAAAATTTGTTAATAAAAGTACATATTTACAAGCGGTTAACTAGTCGAATGAACCAACAACACAACTGAAATCAAATTGGAAACCTACCCAAAATAGCCTAAATATCACAATACAACACAAATAGAACACATGTAGCGCCCGTCTCTCTATTAAGAGCATAGCACATTTTTTAGAACATACTGCGTTGCGTTCACACTAGAGACGATACCGTAATTAATTGAATTCAAGTTATTTAAATTCGAATAATGCTTTTAATTTTGAAATTTAATCCTAAACTATGAAAATTACTTAACCAAAACTAAATAGATGTCCTCATCTATAATCATCTAAAATAATTATTAATTAAAAAAATTAACAGTTGTCATCATCTACTTTTCCTAAATTGAGTTAAGTAAATAATCTAAGCTAATAAATCCTAAATTATCTAAGTCATTTAATTAAACTAAGAACCTAAGATAAGCCTAAGCTAAACTCAACCCTTCCAAACAAACCCAAGCAAGCCATTTCTCGGCCAAGATCAAGTGTGAAGCAAGACACTTAAAAACTCGGCCACCCACAACTACCCCAACCACCTCCTCCATTCTTGGGCATGACGAGCAGGCCTCACAACTCCCTCACACACTCCCAGCCGCTAGCTCTAAAGGCTCCAAGCAGTCCTAGACCAAGTTTACAATAACTCCCCCATTTTTAGGCCACATTCCCTCATTCAGGAGCAGCCCTAGCAGCCTTCTATTTAAACACCTCAAGTCCAGGCCGTCTATTTCCCTTCAACAACCTCTACAAATTTTTCCAAAAATATTCTAAGTTCCCAGCCAAAAATTACCGAGAGCAAGCCACCGAGGAGACCCGAGCACCAGAGACAAAGAGAAATACACTGCAGATGAGAAGAGTGACTGGAAACCAAGGTTGAACACCATTAGCAGCGCCCAGATCCAGGAGTGGTTGAGTTGCGATTCATCCGATCGAGAGTGTCACCGTGAGGTGCACTAGTTTAGTTCAGGAAGAAGAAGGATGTGCATCTATTACCGGAAGCTCAATCGAGGATCTGTTCGACAAGTAAGATCGATTTGAAGTCCGGACACCGTCAGCAGAAGATCAAGGAGCTTGATATCTCAAGAGAATTCGACCCGAAAGTTCGTTCATTAGAAGATCGAGGCGATGAAGTCATCCCCGAGAACTAGTGGTGTCTTGACATCACTAGCACGAGTCAGGCGAGCGAAAAGCTTGAATGTCAACGTGGGAAAGCATCCCCAGGCAAGCAAAATAGAGAGTCTTGATAATTGCATCAGACGGTGCCTCGGTGCTAATCAGAAACTTTGCGTACCCTTGTGCAGGTTGGTTATGTCCTTTGGAGCCTAGGAGAACCATGATTTGCCGGAGGAAATTAGACCTCGTACGTAGGTGTGCGTCGTCACGGAGCAGCCTAGGTATCCCCGTAGAAGACCCCCGTACCAGTGATATTCATCGATGGCCTGTTAAGAAAAAAGGATCAAGACGCTTGAGAGCTTACATTTTGGTTAGCGAATATTTGGAGGTTATCTTGCCATTTGTAGAGATGGCCTACTACAACAATTAGCAAACGACAATTTTCATAGCGCCATACGGCCTTGTACAGACGCAAGTGATGATCGTCGTTGTACTGAGTTGGAGATATATTGCTTGGATAAATGAGTTGTTTCTCTCTTTGGTAGGATAAGGAATTTGTGGAAAGGACTATAAAAACATGAGTTACCAACATAAATTGTAACTGAATTTTAATGAACATAGATTGAATAAAAATATTTAATTTCAAATTATCAGAAAAACTATTAAGCATTACATGCATGGAATGTAAAAAAATTTTACTCATGTTATTTATTTAATTTTTGTCATGCTAAAGGTGAATAATTTATTTGGATATGCTCGCACCAGCATAATTTCATTTTTAGTCCACTATATTGGTCTATTTCTAGAAAAGATCTACCTTTTTGGCCGACATCAAATTAGTACATTAATTTGAAAAAATCATCAAGTAAGCTACTCTAATCATTAGTGGCAGGATAAAATTTGGTATTTTTCCCTGACCTAATTTGCAGGCCCCCCGATCTCCACTTCAAGTGGGTGACCCTCCGTTGGATTCTTCTTGTCAAGATAGTCATACTCGTAAACTTTTAGACCAATAATAGTTCGTTTGCCTAGTCAATTTTTCATCTAAAATAATTTGGATTGTTTTTTATTCGTTTAATTATGATGCCATATAGCATCAGATTTAGGTTGGTGACCCACCATCGAATTCTTCTTATCGAACTGGTCATACCTACAAAAATTGATCTCAATTGGAGTTCATTTGCCAGCTCAATATTTCATCCAAAAAAATTTTTGTTCCAAATTCATTGTTCTCTATCTAGGGACCATTTTGGTGCCTTAAGGTGTACGTTCTAGGCGGGTGACTCACCATTGGAATTGTCTCATCAATACGGTCATACCACAAATTTGTAGCTCAATTAGATCTCATTTGTGTGCTCAATTTTTCGTCCAAAATAATTTGAGTTATTCTATTTTCAGCCTAATTCCAGTGTTGTCTCATGTCAGTTTCAAGTATTCCACCGCTGAATTCTTCTTGTTGAGGCGGTCATATATCCAAAATGTTAGACCAATTGGAGCTCGTTTGCTCAGTCAATTGCCCGCCGGAAGTTATATGCACAAACTACATTTGCGCCCCGTGATAAGCCCATGATAATCCGACCTTTATCTTGCCACTAATGATTAGTGTACCTGTTTTGATTAAGTTTTAAAATTAATGTACTAAGCTTGATGTCTGTAAGAAAAAGGTAGATCTTTGCTGAAAAAAACCAATATAATGAATTAAAAATGAATTTTGCTAGAGGACGAGGTGAGTATTAGTGTACTGTATTAAAAATGAATTTTTGTAAATGAATTAAAAATGAATTTCGCATTGAAGCTAGAGGATTTTCAGGCGGAATTTGGCTACTTTGGAAGGACGGGGTGAGTATTAGTGTACTGTATTATTCCCGACAACTCGTTCATGTCCGGGCAAGCATGAATGGCGAGGATTGCTTAATCTCTTTCATCTACGCAAGCCCCAACCCCAATATTCGACGCCGACTTTGGACTGAGCTGAAGAGGCTGGCATCGTGTACCTCAGACCCTTGGCTCATTGGCGGCGATGTCAACTGCCTCCTCCATCCATCGGAAAAATAGGTGGGTCGCCTAATTTTTGCAATACGAGCAGGGAGTTTGCTGACTGGATGTTTACTAATGGCATTCAAGAAGTAGCCATAGATGGTCACCTTTTCACATGGAGTCGGGAGGGCCAACACGGACGAGTAATGGAGAGACTAGACCGCTTTGTAGCTGACGTTGACTGGATGGAGAAATTTGAGACGGGTCGCGTACGTCTCCTTCCACGCATTCAATCTGATCACTCGCCTCTCATGATAGAGTTTGGTCGACGGAGGCTAGTGGCACAGGGAGTGAAACCATTTCGATTCATTGCTGCGTGGCTTCTCCACCCGGATTTTCCCGCTATGTTACAGGACACGTGGCAACCTTTGTTGGGTTCGTTAGTACCGTACGGGCTGTACGCAGCGGAATTTAAAATTTTTAAAGTAAGTATTTATCGTATAAATACAACACCCGTACATACTAATTGCGAATTAACTGATCGTCATCTTTAAAACATGCATCATATACAAATTTTGATTTGTTATATTAAAGTAAATACCAGTAGAAATATTTACCGAGTGTCTTGAACTCCTTCAACAAAGATGTGGATTGTGGGAATCGGTTCCCGGTTGTAACTTCAACGGCTTGAGGTTACTCGCTTTAGGAATCCAAGTGTCTTCCCTCTAATCGTATCCACCCTATGAAGCCCGGTTCCGACGACCTTTCTTCGCTAGTAGAAATGTCTCGGTTTTCTTGTATAGGAATATATATATAAATATAATTTGGGAATTATCAAGAACACTTTCTTGAAATATATGAAGAACACTTTCTTCTCTCTTTGATTTTCTCTCAAAATCACTTAGCATAATTTGCAAACATTTTGCATCTATTTATACTAAACATTTTAGCATAAAATAATCAATATTTAGTAATATTTAAATAAAATCAAATTTTATTTAAATAGTATTTACTAACCATTGACTTTGAAAATAATAAGATATGTTAAGTAGTTCAAACAACCATTAACAACCATTTTATTATAATCATATTTCTTATTTTAATCCTTAAATCATATTTAAAGATATAAATAATAATTGGATAATAAATCTTGAGAATCTTTCTCAAGACTTTATTATTATATCATTTTCCCAATCTTATAATAATCATATTATTATTATTTTGGATTTGAAATTTAAAATCCTATTTTAAAATTCAACTTTATTAATTTAGTAATTACTTTAATTACTAAAGTAATATCCAAAATGTAATTAATCAATCTTATTGATTAATATATTCCTTTAATTGACATCTAATCAAATTAGATATTTATCAATTAATTCTAACCATTAGAAATACAATCTTTACCTTTGTTCATAATTAGTGTGACCTTTTAGGTTCACTATTAATACTAGTAGTGGGTTTACAACACTTTGTAATTTGAGTTAAATCTTATTAACTCTTATTCAAGAATTAACCCCTTAATTCATGAACCCACATATCATGGTAACACCTAGCAAGTATCATGAATCTAGTATTAAGTGAATAGCGAGTAAACCTATTCCGATTACAACTCCATACATGTAAAATCCTTTCGACATCTAATTTCCCGATTAAGTCTTGGGTATGATTTTGTCGAAACCCAAATTGA